CCCCCGCCTCCACCATCACCTCCACCACCATCACCCCCACCACCATCGCCCCCACCGCCATCACCCTCACCACCCCCACCATCTCCTCCACCGCCTTCTCCTCCCCCACCATCGCCGGTGTATTGTGTACGTCCATCACCCCCACCGCCACCACCAAACTCTCCCCCACCTCCTCCTCCATTATTCTCTCCACCCCCACCTGTTTACTATTACAACTCACCGCCACCGCCCAACTCTCCACCACCACCACCAATGTACTCTCCTCCGCCACCGCCCCACTCACCACCTCCTCCACCGCATTCACCACCACCTCCAATCTATCCTTACCTATCTCCCCCACCTCCACCTGTCTATTCCCCTCCTCCACCTGTCTATTCCCCACCTCCACCCGTCTATTCCCCGCCACCACCACCGCCATGTATAGAGCCTCCCCCACCACCACCGCCGCCGTGTATAGAGTATCATGAACCCCCACCGCCACCATCACCATCACCACCGCCACCCATCCAATACCTGCCTCCACCATCTCCTTCCCCCCCACCACCACCGCCACCCACCCCAGTTTTCCATTCACCTCCCCCACCAATTTATTACTCTCCACCACCACTTCCGTCGCCTCCTCCACCCTCATCCCCACCACCATCACCCGTATACGAAGGCCCATTGCCACCAATCTATGGAGTTTCGTACGCCTCTCCTCCACCTCCACCCTACTATTGATTCTTTTAAGAAATTTTCCTCCTCTAACCTTACCTCAACTCAACCACAGAAGAAGGAGAAATTTACAATACCATGCCCTCGTTTATCTTCTTCATTGTACTGAAATTTCCCAAATCTTTTCATTATTTTTCCCCTTTCAGCAATGCTCATCGCTCTCTGGGGAAGAATAATAAGACTTTTAAGGATTATATTTATTTCTGCAAGGGTCACGTCATGTTCTTCTCTCTTACATAAACGTCATTACTTGTTTAAAGAACAAAAAAAAAAAAAATCCATACACAGGGAGTGTAAGGGTAAGAGGGAAAGTCTCTTCTTATTTGTTTGAATTGTTATGGATATTTGAATTTGTGAAATAAATGGCAGAGAAGAGTGGAAGTGCAGAGAATGTTTATGTTTCAAAAAAAAAAGAAAAAAAAAAAAATTGAATGTATAGCGATGAATTGAAGAAACTCTTATTCAGAGACAATGTGAAACTGCTGCTGCTTTCTGGCTTGTGGGTTTCCTTTCCTTCTCTTCATTATTCTTTTGTTTCCCAATTTCATACTAGAATCATCAACAATTTACTTGTATAACAATGTCTGAGTTCATATTATATCATGTCCAGTGCTGTTCTTGTCTGTTTTTTCCCCCTTCATCGATCACTGGAAACCCGAAATCTTGCCCAGAAACAGTTTTTCCTCCCTATCGTATCCGTTTGATTCGAAAAATGCCCGACTATTGGAGATTGATATAGACAAACGGAATCTTACCGGTTGAAATTTGACCTCGTTTCACCATCACAAAATAGAAGGAACACGAACATGAACATGTTGATCTGTTGACATCAAATTTGCAAGTCAATTCAAACAAATTCACATCATCATCAATCAACCCTTTGTTTTTTTGAGTTTGATCGAGTAGCAACTCAACTAACTCATCCCATCGATGTCGAATCAATGAAAGGGTTAAATCCATTGTTGAAGATAATGGTGTTTTTACTAAATTGGGTTTCCATGTGCACTCCATTTTCTAAGCTTGAAAAGTTTGAATCAGGGTGCTGTTTCCCACTCCATTTGCTTGTCATTTTCCATAGTTTTGAAACATTTTTGGCCCTACCCACCAGTCGTCGGCAGCCTAACTTTTTTCACACCTAAGCTACAAACATTTCAAACTTTTTTCACTCAGAATTCATCATTTTTACTCCCCTTGATTGGTGCAGTGTTTTTTGCTGCTTTTTCTATTACCCTTTTTAAAAACCAGAGAAGAGAGTGACGTATACGTCAAATCTATAAACTCCATTCATTGCTGCCGACATCGGGGTCTGATTTCCCTCGCCGGAACTCGAGGAAATTCATTTGGTAATTTCGTCGAACACCTTCCGAGCACAAACCAAAACTCACTCGGGAATTTCGTCGAACACCTTCCGAGCTCAAAGAATCCTTAAAAATCTAATCATTGCGCCGGCTCCGGTGACCGATTTCAGTCTGTAACTATCGGAATCTTGTTTTCCGGCGCAGCAAAATGAACCGAGTTCTATCGGCAATTTCTCGAACACCTTCCAGGCACAGCAAAAAAAAAAAATCTAGTTCACTGCAGATTGGTTGAGATTCTGAAACAGGTTCTATAAAAAGAAGCGATAATCGTTTTCCATGGCCCTACGGTTTCTGTGCAAGTTGAATTGAATTGATGAGAGGGCCGACAGATCTGAGAAATTAATTTCCGCAAGTACCTCCGTTGTTTATCCAGTATTGGGTCTCGTCGTTTTCAAGTGGCAGACACAGAAATTCAATTTCTGCATCGTTCGGGTATGCCACAGGGCAAAAGTTACAGTATATCATAGATTTTTCTGAGGAACTGTTTTTTTTTTTTTTTTTTTCTGAATGATATTATAAAATATGATATATTATCTATTTTGAGTATAAGTTTTATAAGCTCTGTTTTGGACTTCTCAAAAGACCTGATACTAATGAAATAGTAATCTTCATTTATAAATTCATAATCTCTTTCTCTAAATTAACCAACCTAAGACTCACTCTTAATAATCCTTTGCATTTGTTTAAGTTTGTTTATTTCGATGTCTTTTTAATTTACAAAATAAAAATAAAAAACTCACGTTAATTTCGTTCAGTTTTATTGTTATAGAGTCTTTCGGAAACAAAGAAGAAAGTTTTGCAGCCGTTCAGATCAAATCGGATGGTTAGAATTACACTGTGATATTTTTATTTTATCAAAATTTTTGCTTTTATGCTACATTGTGAGAATTTGAATATTCAGTCCATTTTAATTTTCATATTTCATTTTAATCATCTTAAAATTTTAAAAATAAATTTATATAAAATATAAATTTTTATGACTACAAGAAATTAAGAAATTATCCAGATAAAATTATAATTCAAATAAATTAAACTATATTAGATTTTCTATTCATCTTAATAAAATAGAAACTTATTTAAGATTGAGTCATTCAAATAGATTTCACAACTGAACAAAATCCAACCCTTTATGTTAAAGATGTGATTGAGTTAAGTTGTCAACTCGAAGGTTTTACCCACGAACCCAAATCCGAATCGATTTAGTTCGGGTTCAGAAAAAATGAACCCAAGTCTACCCAAAATGCTAATTCAATCCAACCCAATCCTCATAGTTCGAGTTGGGTTGGTCTGGGTTGTCGGATGGAATGTATACCCCTATATGTTACATTAGTAACTAAAATTACTAAAATCTCAATATGAAAAACCCTATATCACACCACTATCTAATAACATTCAAACCAACCCAAATTGATAAATATTTAACTTAATCCAATTTTATGATCATTATTGAATAACGTCGAATTATCGGATCATATTAATACCCCTACGTTATTTTAATATCATATTAAAATATTTTTTTTTGGTAGCAAAATTACATATTGGTTACTCATGGGGTCAAATAGCGTAATAGTCATTAATTATTGCTATTATTAATGCTTCTCAACTACTCCATAGTTATCATTCATTATTATTTGCCCTAAAATTTCTATTATTCCAAAATATATTTGGTAATTCAGAAAACATGAGTGTCTGTGACTCATCATTACTTACTTGATAGGTCATAATATTTTAATTAATTAAATTATGTTAACGTTGACTACTTTAACTAATATTCTTATTAATAATTAATAATAGGAAAATCTATTATTTTAAAAAATTGGTTAGAAAATTAAAATTAAAAGTTTATATACTTATTAAATACACACTTAAAAAATTATTAAATACAAAATTACTCGTTTATTGAGTTTTATCCATAAAATTTAATATATTTTGGATTCGATTAAACTTAAAAAAACACTAAAAGAAAAAAAAAAAAGTTATGATTTAAATATAAATGGGACCTCCATGAATGAGTGCTTCCCATGGGCTGTTAGCTCTTCACCTGCTTTTGGTGGTTGGTTGACTTTATTTTCCATTTCTATTTAATTTAAATTGTCCCAAAAAAAAAAAAGGGTTTATTTCATATTTTAATTATATAATTAAGTTTATGGTTGTCGGTTGATATCTACCTTATTATATAAAACTATACGCATTTATTTTTCTTAAAAATATTATTTAAATATTCATAGGCCTAAAGTTGTTTGGTATATAAATATTGTCACATAAAATCAAGGAAGAAAGGAACCGTCCAATTAATGTATTGGATTGCATGCGATCTAAATAATTGAGCAGTTGTGAGAAATACTAATATTTTGATGTACTTTATAATATCCAGGTTGTAGTTGTTCCTTTTCAAAATAATGTGAATGTTTTAAAGATATCAGACAACATGGGTTTAGTGAAAATATTGTTTCACCCAATCATATAATTCTTTCTTTAATGAATTTCGAGAGGATATATATTTGAGTATTAGTGAATCCATTCTTGTCGAGAGACACTTACCTACTCGTGCACGATTCAACTCATATTTTTTTTTGTGTAATATCGATTTTGAAGATGAAGATTGGAACTACGAGCTATCTAGTTTACTTAAGGGATGAAATATAAGAAAAAGAGCGACAAGAAATCGTTTATCATTAGCTAAATGGGAATAGGGATTATATTTCTCGTGTTCGATAGTCGATATAAATTGAAAATTTTACAAGAATGAAGATTGAGACTGATGACGAGCATAGAATGAGAAAGGCTTTCCGGTCTACCTCTTGTGGACATCCTTAATTTAAACCTTTAATATTTTAATTAAAAATATAAATTTTGTATTAATTGAACTATGCATACGCTAACAACTTTTAGATAATAAATAATATTTTAATGAAGTTATAATATATTTAATTATATTCTTTAATTTTATTTTCATTTTTAAAAAAATAAAAAAGGTTGTCTTTACGAGAAGAATGAGCTTCTATTAAACTAACATTATTTATAAAATATTAAAAAAATGTAGTCAATTTTTCGATGAAAACGAAGCTCATAACTTTATTTAAAATAATTTCAAACATAAATGGGCCTACTCGACAGGTATGTTTGGGCCGTTGATGCACAGTGGGCTTGAGCTCATTAAACAATTGGGCTATGACCGAAAATGTCAATGGCCCAATTTGGAGCTCCAAAAAATGTACTTGTAAACGAGCTTTTTACATAATTGGCCCAATTTAAATGACTAATTTTTTTAGTTTAACCAGTGTAACGCCCAGGTACAATATTTTCTTCCACAATCAATGTGGGACATCACAATAAGTGAGACGCTTTTAATTATCTTATTAGTGCTTAAATTGCCTGATTATACTCAAATGATATACTACCCGTCGTGTCGTTTAATTCTTCAAAATTATTTAGATTATTAAACTCTTAAACTCAGTCATTGAGTTCTTTGTTCATTCGAGGATTTGCCAATCTATTGGCACAGCTAAGTTTAGGGCATGACTCTGATACCATGTTAGACGAACACGACTCTCCACAATGGTATGATATTGTCCACTTTGAGCATGAGCTCTCATGGCTTTGCTTTGGGCTTCCCAAAAGGTCAAACCCATGATCATTCCCTAAATTAGCTGATGTGGGACTTTCATCATCCAACAGAAACAACAAATAAGAAAAACAAATGGTTCGTGTTCAATTAGTTCAAAGACATTGGATTCTCTATCGTTCAAGAATCTTCTTCATTTTTCATTCTATCCGAAAAAAGTGATCGAGACCAATTAAATTAGTATACGGTTTGGAGACAACATGAGAAAGATAAATCAAATCTTGAGTGACTCAAGGGTTAGAAGAATGGAGAGGAAACAAAGAACCTTGGGATTGAAATCGCAAATCGCCAGCTCTAATGTCGTGCACTTGGGACGACAATCAGATCGGAACAGTCCGACAATTGCGTAAGAAAAAGGGAAAAAAGATCCGACAATTCAATATTTTTCATAATGTTGCTGTGTTCATGATTGATGTGTTTGTTCCAAAGTTGAGTTGTCTCCCACTTAATTTTCGGCTTCACTTCTTTAATTTCTATCCTCTTTATCTATTTATTGAACTGCAAAATTTGCAATA